ATAGAAATAAACTCTAAAATGTGACAATAAGGAGATAATTATACTAAGATGCACCTTTATCTAACGTTTTAACAAATAACTTATGCCCAAAAATATGAAGTTTTTAAAGCTATATAGTAATGTTTTTTAATTCCGTAGACACAAAGCCTCGAGAGCGTCCGAAGCTCAATTTGCTGCCTCGTACGGTCCCTCGGGACGCAGAAGTACCCACAAAGCCGGCAGATGGCGCTGCAGTGGACGATAAAGCGCCGGAGAAGGCAGCACCAAAGCCCGTGCCTGCTGAAAAAGTATTTGGTGCAGCCAAACCTGTTGACACTGCAGCTAAGTAAGTCATCTGAACTTTATGTTTTGGACCTTAATAGTAAATTCATTCAGTTCTGCAGTTAAATAATGGAAAAGTAGCGTTTTTTTTTTGAAATAAGAAAACAACTAATGATGTACTCAAAAGTATTATGTTCCCTGAACATTGTTGCCAATTGCTTAATTTTTACAGAGAGCGTGAGATAGAGGAACGTTTACGCAAACAGCAAGAGGAAGAAGCCCGGCGCGGTGGGGAAGAGAAGGAGCGCTGGGGACGAAGGGTCGGTACAATTTGCAATATCAACACGATACATTAATTTAAATAAAAATAAAACACTAACGTCACCATTTCATTTTTACAGAACGATCATTCAGGCGATCGTCGGCCTGCACCAAAGCGAGGTAGATAAACAATAATAATCATTTTAATAAATTTAGTACATAATTACAAAAAAAGATAATTTTAAATTTAAAAAATTAATGTATTGATATTGAAAAAACTCATATTCAATATTTTAATGTGTTGCAGATGATCGTCCCAGGGATTCTCGCAATTACAACAGAGAGAAACGTGATTACTCTAAGGACGACAAGGACCGTCGCGATTATAATGACCGGGACAGACGAGACTATAGGGACGACAGAGATCGGCACGGCGAGCGTGACGACAGAGACCGACGAGAACCAGAGCGAGACAGGCGCGACTACCGTGACGAACGCGACCGTCGCGACAAAGATGAACGCCGTGACTCTTCTGGCGATCGACGTGACCGCCGCGACTATTCGCCAGATCGACGTCCCCGTCGCAACTCTGGCGAAAGACGCAGGGAAGCGTCTCCAGAAAGACGTCGCGATCCTTCCGGCGATAGACGCCGCGACTACTCCGGCACTCGGGACGACGATCGCCGTCCGCCATCGCACGAGCGCAACGGACGTTCGCGTCCTAGCCGCTCGCGCGACAGGCATGACGAAGCCGATGACAAACCCATGCCCAAGCTAAAAGATCACGAGACGCCTGTAAGTTCTACATTTTATTAATTTATCAATATTTTTGAACAAACTACCGAATACCAATATATTGTGTTGACGATTGAATCTTATTACAATGTTTCATTTCTGTTACAGAATTTCGTGGCGTCGAACAAGTTTAGTTTCTTAGAAGACGCCGATGACGGCGGATCTGATTAGCACGAGCATTGAGTTTGTGTGCGCGCTTCAAATTGTGTCCATTTTACAGTTGACTCGAGTGTAAAGTGTATAAATTAACGAGTAACAAAGTGTCTAACGTGTAGAACAGACTCGATAGAGCACGGAGACAATCTAAAATTGTGCTGATGAAATAGAACTTGATTTGATAGTCACTAGTGCGGTGTGGATATACGTGTATATTAAATAGGATTGCTAATGCTCACACTGCTTCGCAGTCTTTGTTGGAGTCTCTAAAATTATACTTTTACTACAATTGTCTGGGGAAGATATTCAGCACAGAATACATTCAGTAAGATACTGCAGCAAAGACTGGGGCTCGTATGTGACCATGTTGTACTGATTTGTGTAAAATTTTCTATGGGTTTGTTATTTACAATATTATAATGTTAATATGAATGGTTGCAAACATAGTAAAGATTTAAGAACTGCAAATATTCCATTAAATTTTGATGTGAACAGGTTTTAGGTCAGGTGCTGCTCTTTCATGCCTCTATTTTTGTGAATAATTAATATTTCATTATTTTATATTATTCCTTTTCGAAGGGATTTTTCTGCAGTTGATTGCATTACAACCATAGGGAATCTAATTTTTCTATATTTTAGAATTTATGTCTTATGTTAAAATATTTAGGTTTATTAGAATATTAATTGTATTATTTATCTTTACACTCAAAATTGTCTAAAATAATCAAGTGGTAAGATTTAAGCCTCAATATTCCTATTGTGCAAGTATGCATACAGATGTGCCTGCCTTGATCGTGATGAAGTTGTTGATAGCTAAAAATACCATTATATCTGATTAGGGCTTGGTCACAATATAATTAAATGGTCAAACGTTACGACGTTTTATTTCTATGGTGAAATTTCATTTGAAAATAATTGTACCTAATTATCAATTAATAAAATGATTACCCTTTTTACAGTAAAAAGTTTTTTTATTTAATTTTTAATGGTTATAGAAACATACATTTTAACCCTTTATTACCTATACTGAATAAATATTATAATTCTACGATATATTATGATGACTCTTGATGAAGCAAAGAATCGTAGCAATTTGCGTTCCATAGACTGCTTATCCCAATGGGAGACAGGCGGTTATGTATGTATGCCAACGATATGATTCATCATTCTACAAAACTGTTCTAAACCATTATAATCGTAGTTAGGTATAATGATTTTGTTTATAATAAAATCGTAGCTAATCGTGTTCATGTCTAAAGGAGGTCATACACGCTAGGTTATGCATGATGGTTATAACTTTGCCTGCAAATCCGACAAGCTTAACCGAGTTCCCTACCACACATAGATACACGTTAGGTTTTGCATGCACCATCTTGCCACGAACTCTCAGTTGAGTGAGCTACGTAGTACGTGACGGTGAGTCTCTTCCTAGTCGTCTTCTTCATTACTGAAGGTCGTGTCTAGTCTGGTGCACGCGTCACTTGATGCACAACCCTCCTCCAAACGCCCCTGTCCTCTGCGGTCTTTATGGCTTGTGGAACTGTCAGGCCGGTTAGGTTTTTTACATCATCCAACCACCGGGTAGGTGAGCGACCGCGAGGTCTTTTCCCGTTAACCCGACCAACAACCACAAGCTTCTCCAGATTGTTGGGGTCTCTACGCGCAATGTGGCCAATATAAGTTAATATTCGCTGCAGGCATACAGTGGACAGCCTCGTAGTAATTCCGATCTCCTTGAGAATGGAGACGTTGGTGCGACGAGCGGTCCAGGGAATACGGAGCATACGTCTCCAGCACGGACGGAGTGACGGTGAGTGTAGTGCGCCAATACGAAACTACCGATAAAATAAAAAACAAAACTATGGCAGGCAAGCTCGCTGGACGCCACACACGCTCGGTTATGCTCGCGCGCAAACATAACCGAGCGGCATATAATATGAATTTTGAAATTTGCTCGGTTGCATGTACATGCACCGATAACTGTAGGTACAGTTTAATCACATACACGCTAGGGCTTGCCTGTCGGTTAAGCATGCACGGCTAAAACCATCATGCAAAACCTAGCGTGTATGGCCCCCTTTAGAATTATTGTGTCACAATTTCATCATTGATGATTGTAGCAAATTGACGACCAATAAAATCATTACCTATTTTATGTAATAAACTATCTGCCCTACCCAGGTCATAATAAGGTAATATTGGTTAGCTGCTTATACCTAGCTATAAATAATCTAGTCTACTCTATTAATAATCTTCACTTTATTTTTTACCGTGCCCTTATCTCACCACGAATGACTGAAGGTGCCTATTTAAATAAAATATTTGGTTAGAAAAATAAATACTTCCAAGACTGGGCTAAACTCTTAGCGAAGGGTTCTTTCACCCCATTTAATATTCCGCAACATGTTGATAAAAACTGATCGCTATCAGTTTTTTTTTAAATAATAAAGTTGCATGTACCTTAATGAAATGCGGTGGCTGGCGGTACCTAGTTACTATTCTGAAGAACTGTAACATTCTCACAAAATCCTTCTTACCTGTTGTCTCTAAAACTACAGTAGGTGTCCATATCCTTGCCTTGATGTTATATAAGGTGATGAGATTTTGAGATTTCCCATCGAGCGTCTTTTGAAGACGAGTTTCTGCTTAATAAGGCGGTTCCGGGAGCGCAACCTAGGTGTGTGTCTGTATGGTGACGAGTTAAATACTTAGGAAGGTATTTTTGTCTATGTGTACCTACTTACTTACCAATACTTTACACCTACATGTACCTACGTATTTAGACCTCAATAGCAGGTGGGTATCTAATACAATGAGGGTTTTCAAAACTGCTATGTTGGTTTCAAAAGCATGGTTGCTGAGTAAATATATCTGCTGTCAATCAAGTGAATTTTATACATCTGTTTAACATTTGGGAAATATATAAGCTATTATGCTGACTAAGCTCCAGTTTTAATAAACCTATTCGCCTTACCTCCTACATCTTGCTAACACTATTGTGTACCATTCAGTGTACCTACCTAATTACTTATTTGGGCAGGTATCTACCCAATGCGACGTATATCGGGAATGAAAAAAAATCTATTGTTATGTCATATTACAACAATTTATTTCAATTACAATTTATAACATACAAGACAATTTTTAATGCAAAAAGAAAATAAAACTTTAAACCATGGTTTTAACTAATCCATTGTAAATCAATTATACAATTAGGTATTATTTTTAAGTATAAAAGTTTTTTTTTGTATTTTTTTTAACATTCATATTATGTTTCATAGACCATAGATTACAACTAATTCAACTGAAGAATTTTAACCTACACGCTCTTATTTAATGTGTAAGAAACATCTAGCATGCACGGCAAGATCTTTATATCCATAATCATAGAAAAAAATAATAATCTGTGCATTTAGTCAAAAACAATTAATTTGTACTTAAGCACATCTATGAATATAGATTTAACAAGAAACTCAAGTTGCTCAAGTTAAGACTGAGGACACCGAAAAATTCAAGATGTCTGCTCTTCATTTACTCTTCAGAATAGCAGACATCAATTCGTTCTTCAGCCTCTTTGTCATTTCTTCTAGAATGTCAGCTCGAACTCTCAACTTCTTATTTTTCTCTTCTAGTTCATCAGCTAACTGTTCCATCTGTAGCTCCTTGAGTTTCCTGTTCATTCGAGACCGTTTAGAGGCTTCATTATTCTTATCTCTTAATTCTCTATACTTAAACTCTTGTGTAGAGATAGACGACGAGTTCTCGTCTACACTACACACCGAGGACACAGTACTCTCCCGTCTTTTAGGGGGGCGTCCTCTTCGCGCCTTAGGTTGACCTTCTAGTGCTAGAATCATGTCCTTGATTGGAACACTTGGTTTCCTTCTTTTATATTTCCTGGATGGCTGTTCAGTATACGGTGTGTAAGTCTCATCGGATTCATCGCTGTCTTGATGTCTTCTCTTACTTGCGGTAGATTTGACGTCATCATTGTCTGATTCCATGTGAGATTCGCTTTTTGGTGTGATGGGCTCATAGTCGACTTGTGGGGGCGGCGGTGTGTCCAATTCTGTGAATGTTTCCTTTGATGTAGACAGAGAGAGGTCCGTGTAAGACTCCCTCGAGGCGGATAGAGAAGCGTTGTGGGCCGTCCAGTGCTCTTGAGGTTTCTGAAACAATGACAAATAAAATTAAATCGACTGATAAACCATAAGGACCATTATAAGTTACATAAGTACATATATCTAACTGATCGCCATGAAAATGAACATCAAATCAGTCTTAAACACTTACCAAGGGCTGTGTGCATTTTTCTTTTTCTAGTTGCTCCACATAGCTGAGCACTTCAGGAGTGCTGATGGTGTCGAACGGCCAGGCGGGCGCCCGCGCCGACACGTCCACGGACAGCCCCTCGACACGCCTCGGCATCGCCGGTTCTTGCATTGCCCCCATTAGGTCTTGGTCTTCGTTGATGATGAACTCGGAAATAACTACGTTGTTGCTTTCCACCTCCCGTGGGATGACGGATCCAAATTTAAGATCAAGGGAATCTTCTGCATCGATGAAGGGCGCTGTGTTGTGAGGTGGATTGGTGTACATATGATAATATTGGGTGTCATGTGTGTTGGTCAACTCTACTGGATCCCGGACTTGCCACGGATTAGTATCAGCGACCGTCTCAGACGGTAAGTCTCCAATAACCACTGGCAGTCTGCTAATGTCTAAGAATGTTTCCTTAAACTGCACGTTGTTGGTATCTTTATCCCATTCTGGGAAGGTAGGCATGTTGGCGTCATACTGCGGGAACTTTTCGTTCGGCGACAGTGGTTCATGCGGGGAGATGTTATTGTATAAGCCTGCCTGTGGAAACTGGGAGTTAACGTCTAAATTTTCCCAACCTTGCGGTGAGAATTGTGTGTATGGTGTGTCGATCTTAAGTGCCCTTTCTTCAGTATTCTTAGATGAATCTGTTTGAGAAAAAAACATTTGGTTAATTTTACGTGAAATTACATAAAAATATTATTAGGTTTCTGTTGGTAGGTCCTAATCATTTTAAATATTTATTGAGTGATTGTCTCCTTTGTAATTCAAATATAAAAGAAACAAGAAAGGGTTTAATTAAAATATGCTTACCAATGGTCTGTACTACTTCTTCCTTTGCGGGAACGCAGGACAACGGAACCAGATCTTGGAAGAACTCGTAGTCCGTTTCGTGAAACATTGCGCTCTCGAATAGGGGCTCCGATTTCAAGTAAACCTGAAAACAGATTATGTAATGTTAGCACGTGTTGCAAATTGTGAGCAGAGCCTAAAAATTAACTTATTATTAATAATAGTAATGCATTATATTAGTACTCACGGTTTCGGGTGCCATTCTTACCTCTGCAAAGCTGCTGGTTGTAGCCACTGGCGAAGACGGAGCTGCGGTGTTTGAATATCCGTCGGTAATCACTCCGTTTAGACCGTTTACGCAGTTCTTCTTCTCGTTCTTTAAACGATCTAGCTCTACCACTTTCAAAACAGTTTGAGTATTGAGACTCGTTTGCGAAAAAACCATGTCTTTTGGTGTTCGGATCGTACTGAGTTCCGATATCGTCGCTCCGACTCGGACAGGTGATCTTTTGAGCAACCATTTTGAATAGAACTACAAACAGAAATGATACGACGTAACATAATGTGTGCATACTCATATGAAGCGGGATATAGGGTGTGGTAGGACAACATACAAGGGTTGTGAGGGGAATAGCAAATGATAATTAAATGATTTCGCTGTCCTTGCCGATGTTTGGAACATCACACTCGTGTAATGCTCCATCATCAGTAAGCCAGTTAAATTGTTTTAATTTGCACAATGAGATGGACAAATAAGAAGAAACTTTGGAATAATCAAGATAAAATCTTGTCTAAACAAAGTAATTATGACGTTCTCAACTGCTGTCGTGAGAGGAAGGTCGCAGCCTTGAAAATCGAAATACCAATGAGAATGAGTTTAGAGTAGGTATATAAACATTTATATAGATTATGAATGTTATAATGGAGTTGTAACATAGCATAGAAGGAATGATGATTGCATAAATATTTAAAAATATAATAAATATGATTAAAAATTGAAAATTCGACAAGGAACAACATTTTTTCAGCTGCCGTCGATTATGCAATCAACATAATGTCACCTGCCCTTAAAATTTTGTCGATGTACTAGCAATAAGTCATGTTTCATTATTTCGGTTGCTAATTTTTAGCATCTAACCGAAATATTTCCTGTAGAGCGTTAGTAAAAAAAACTATTATATATACAACTTATCTAAATTAAAATTAATTAAGCGTTATCTTATTGTCTCTATACGAGACTGCGGTTTCATCTTGAAGCCACAACGATGCCATAATTATAACTTAATTACCTATGCTAGCTAGACTAGTTAATTTAGAACTAAAACTATAAATAATTGGTAATTAACTATTTTATGACTTATAGCTATTGTAATTAACTAAATATGACTAGTTTAAATATTGATAAAGCATACTTTACTGTCCCAATGTTCGAAATATCGATCGAACGCACTGTAGGTACTTGAAACTTTCTCTACCCTCTCTACTTCCTACATGTCTAAGTACCTACGGATTGTTTTGGAGGTGCGTTAATTGGAACTTTGTATCGACAACTATCGCGGAATATTAAGAGCAGGCTCAGTGCATATCATTGAACAAACGCCAACAAAAGGAATGAAGATATGGTAAGAAGAATGAACTATGAAGGATTATTGTGGTGCCAGAATATTATCAACGCGCCATTATTATGCACCTTAAAGAAAATCGACATCTGTAACTTTTCAAATTAGTAAGTTTTAGCAAAAGTTAACCAATTAGAACTTCTTATTTTTTTGGAATACAGAAGTAATTAATATAGTTAAAACTCTAGATTTTCTAATAAATCTTTAGAATGATTAATTTTTATTATCTTTCAATTCGAGAAAATTAACTTTCAAATCTTTCAACATTTCTTTAGATTAATTTGAGTTGATGAGATAAATTTTTGGAATTCCTTCAGGGTTCGATATTTCCGACCGATGTGTCCTGGACCTGTGAACAAAAACTTTAATTTCGAAATAGGGTGAACGCTATTACTTACTTCTTTGAACTCTTCTTGAGCTCCTACTGAAATTTTAACTCTCTAGGCTCCCAACCAACAAACGGTGCCGACTGTAGGCCTGGAACAAGCAAAGGCGAATTGTTACTATCAGTTTGTTCATTTGTCTTTTATAGCTTCCTATAAGTTATCTAGTTAGAGCGACATGCGACATTATCGCCTTTTATCATGACTGTCGATAAGGAGAACATTTTATGCCGTGCATGCTTAAGTATGATAGCGACTTTGTCACAAAATGGTGTCTATTCTTTATCGCTTTGGTGGAAAATTGATTGAACTACCTAGGTACTTATCAGGGCCGACCTTATAAGTACCATTATGTTATCGTAGGTGGCCGCCCACAGAAAATATTGATCGCATGAGCTTTTTTGTAGGTACTTACTTAGTTACCTACCTACTCAACAAAATTGGTCACCTTGTAATCAGACATTGTTATTTAAATATACGATAGAAAAACTTGTTTGTCTCAAGTCTCAAATGAATTCGGCTAAATGACGAGGTTTGGCATATTTCCAACTTATTTCAGGATAAAACTAATCGAGTGAAAATAATAAATAGGTCGGAAGAAACAAAGGAGATAGGATGTAAGTCAAATTGATTGCCTATCGCCGTATGTTCATAAAAATAGAATTATGTACCTACATACACTAAATTAGACTTGCACAAAATGGACTTGTTCAACAAAGCAAGTTCAACCACCGCGTTCGGCTTTTCCAATTATCTAAGACGCACTCGTATAAGTATAGGTACAAAAACTAACAAGTCAATAAGGAAAATCCCCGAATACCATGTACCTACGTCATTCAATAGAGTATTTGTTCAGTTAAACAGATAGATAGGTAGGTAGGTATTATTATTTGTGCGTCATTCAAAACCACAAGAAGAAAATCAATATTAGTTGTAGTATTCTAATTTATTCTTCTGCATTTCCCGATATACTAAACAGTCATTTTTTGTATAAAAATTAACAATACATAAGTTACTCCGGTAGTTCAAATTTATAATGTTAAATTCAGGGTTAAAAACGAGTTCAAAAGTTGTCCAAAATACGCCAAGGCTGTGAGTAGAATATTATAGTCATTAATTATACATTAGAAGTCTGTGCTCTTATCGTCTTTACCAAATTGTCGCGCATTTTCTAGAACGATGGTGTGGACCGATCTAATCGGCACTTCAACGTGACCGCGGGGCTTCTGACAGGTTGAAACATGTTCGCTTGGGAAACAGCGCAGTACCTACTTTGTCGGCACACCAAATAAGTTCAAAGTCAGCTAAAATACGGCAAAATCGGCCTTTTCCTTTATTATAATTGTTATTTAAGCCATTTATAGTTAATTTAGGACTTAGTAAAAGAAAAACTTTTGCATGAAATTATTGCACAATAATTAATTTTGTGACATGTACACTTTTCTTCTAAGAAATATAATGTGATTTTGTTAAATAATCACGAGTCACGATTATTGTAAGTACTTTAAACTCAGATTATTTGCTTATACACAATTGTAATAACTTAAGACAAACTTTGGACAACTATATTTACTAAAAAATATTTCTAAAACTTACCTTGTTACGAACAAATATGTAACGCCTCCAGTAATTGAGTTAGAATTCGCGATCCTCACAACAAATGAAGAGGATATAAGGCGAAAACTTTTTAACGCGTGAACTTCTACAGCTTTGTTGATTAACTTTAATAAAATTTGTAAACCAAAAATCGCTTCAAGCGACACGTGCACTGCGTGCGAACACAGAAAATGTTGTGCAATGTTCACGGCTCAAGCGGCCCATACAGTTTTCCTTGATCCCCACCACTCAATATTTGCGTTCTAAAAATATCTTTCCTTACACGCTATTGGCCGTCTAAAATGACGTCAACTCATCCGGCCAATAGGATCGAACCATTACCACGGTCACGAGACCGAAGCGCTACACGTTATTATCTGTAGAAGCATTATAGGAGTATACATTATTATTGTATGTATAGGTATGTTGCTTGTTGGGGAATCACACCGCGCTAAACAAGAGGGATACTGTTTTTCAATATGACTCATCATAGCGCGAAAGCAAAACAGCTACCTAGGTACTGCGTACTATTTTTTGCTTAACATGAAATAACACGAATAATTACTTCACATGTTATTATACTGACATTGAAGATTACCAAAAAGGGTGACCATGTTATAATCATGAACATTAAGATAAGAGATTATGAAATAATACAAATAAACTACATTAACAAATCAGGGTAGCAACAAAGATCGATCAAGATGATTGATTTATGTCATCATTTTCTCGGTAATGGGCATGATTTTATGATCGCTTAACAATTAATTGAAAGTATTACTTGAGTACCTAGGGCAGCAATATAAAGAGCAAAGATTGTTACATTTAATAAGACTTGTGAAGTGCGTAGGAAGAAGTGTCGACGTAAATGAAAGTTCGGTGAAAAAGAAATAAATAACAAAAGCAATTGACGTCCTCAAACTTTATCCTTAATTTAACCTCTTTAAGGCGTCATAGCAGCTACGCTAATACTGAATTATAATAATAACTAGCTTCTGCCCGCGACTTCGTACGCGCAATCCCGATATTTCCCGTTCCCGTTCTTGATCTTCGGTAAAAAGTAAAAAAAGAATTAGGTAAAAAGTATCCTATGCCCGTCTCCTGGTTCTAAGCTACCTCCCCACCAATTTTCATCCAAATCGATTTAGCCATTCTTGAGTTATAAATAGTGTAACTAACATAACTTTCTTTTATATATATAGATTATGGACAAATAATAAATGACGTAATAAAAAGATTATGTTAAGGAAAACGGAAATTAGCAGAAATTGTTGTCATAAAGAATTTGTTCAATATTCAATCAATCTACCTCTAACGGAGAAAACAATCTTTAATGTTTAGTGTGCCCTACTACTAATTTTGCTATCAAATATTTAGGTCGATATTAAAATATTAGGGTCAGCTTCAAAATGACTAATTTCAAGGTAAATGTAAAGTGTAATAATGATGATCAAAGAAGCAAAATAGAAAGATCTATCACAAAATCATAACATTTTTTTACGAAAGTGCAGTATTTTGTGAAATATTTTTCTAAAAAGTATATACATATACCTATAGGTCTTTATGCAATACAGGGTAGAACAGTAGCAGATTCACGACGCGACTCTACACTCTCCAACTTTATTGTAAGGGATTAACGGATTAAGTACAGACAATAAACAAGTTGAAACCAGTCGATGAATTGAAACGCACATTCAAGCATTTCAAGTACTTAACTAGGTACCTACTTGCGTTATTTTCGCAGGTTGAAAATGACTCATTTGCTCCTGGCATTGAACTAAGTTGAATAACCTCTTTTTTACGAACTCTGAACTAACTATTAATATGTACCTAAGATAATTATGATT